TAGCCTCTGCCTGAGGCTACCTAGCAGGAGCTACAGAGAGATCTGCAGATTCCTCTTCTTTGTTTAGGGTTTGGAGGTGCCCAGATGAGGCCCAGCTGTGAAGCAATGCAAGCTGCTGTGGGGCCTTGGGCTTTCTTTTGGAAGTTCTGGTTCTCTTTGACTCAGCTGCAGTTTGTTAGGTAATTTTCAGATTGCAAAGGGCCAGGCCTTTCATATACAAAAGCCTCTGCACTCTGCTTGGGTGGGGCAGGGTCTCAAGGAATCAACAGGGTGGAGCAAACAGCTATGGTTGATCCTCAGGCCTACCCTAAGAGGCCCCACATCTCAGTGTCCCGTAAGCACCTCTGAGAGAAAGCTGCCCTCCAGTTCCACCCGATGCCAGACAGTCCAGTTTCTCCCTGTATGAGTCTGGGTCCCCGGAGACTCGCCCGAAACTGGAGTTCGGAGCAGTCGGGAGCTTGAGACTCCCTCCCGATTGAATAAGACAACGGCGTCCTCAGTTGCCAGCCCTGGCCATGTGCGCCTCCGTACCTCTGCACTTCACTTCCGCACCTCCTCTGAGTCTCAGTGTGCTTTGCTCTTTCCTTCTAGTTGTAGAATTTCCACTCAGCCAGCCTGCCTGTGGTTCTGGATGATGTCCGTTTTGTCTTCCAGTTGTATTTTTGAAGCAGTTGTGCGAGGCAGCAATTTCCGGTGTTTACCTATGCTGCCATCTTGGTTTCTTCAATATTTTATGATTTAGAGTCTAAATCTGTTTAAAGAGAAAGAGAAATCATTTGTAATTTCAGCACCACGATATTAACTTACAGGCACACACACACACTCTTGTGTAATATTTCTATGAATGTTTATGTATTCTAATAAATCAATTCATATTGTTATACCTCATAGGCTGTTTTATAGATTGCTTTTTAAAATAACATTGACAATTTACCATATCAATAAATGTAGGTCCAAATTTGTAAATAATCATGTCGATTATTTTTTACAAATCTAAACTAAATTTAAGAATTACATAATTTGGTTATACTGATATATAATGCCATGTCACAATTTTATTAATATTTGAAATTGAAATATGTATGACAATATTTTCATTCTATTTTTGTCTCATGTGCATTTTCATATGTACTATCAGGAACTCACTGCTCAGATTGCCAAGCTCAGCTTATTCCAATTTATTTTAATTATTATTTTCTAATATTCAAATTTTCACCACTTTTTGGGGGGTGGGCATTATCTCCAAGTTGGCTTTTATTTATTCATTTTTCTTTCAGATGCCTCTGAAAATATCACTGTTTTTGGAGAGCCACAGAATGCACCAGGTTTCCCCTTCATTTTTACTTGATGCCAATTTCTCTTCCATGAGTCCTAGCCAACCTTAGTGGCAACCAGTACAATGGATAAACTCTGGCCCTGGGAATGCCCATTAGACGTGACCACTGATGGGAGGCATGGTGACACCACAGGCTGCTTAAGGTGTGTTATTGGCAGAGCTATTTCAAGTACTGACATTTCCAATGGAGTTATTCTACGTCTTTTTAACATCATGTTTTACTACCAAGAACCTCTGAATTCATTTGTGTGTTTATTAATATTTTTATAACTTTTCTTTCAGATTTGACATTCCATGTATTTTTACTCCAAATGATGGGCTTAAATTAGAGTTACAAAAATCTCTAAAAGGTTTTTGCAATTGTATATTTGTCAAAGTAAGTCTGTTTTTGAACTCTTTTTTTGTGCTCCATGAGTTGTTTAATTTACTGTCTGACTATTGTATGTTTAATAATTTTTAAATAAGTAGTATTAGCCTTTCAAGTTTTGTCTTCCTTTTTGAGTTTGTTTTGACTAAACTAAGCCCTTTAACATATTCATATACATTTTAGAATTAGCTTATCAATTAGCTTACCAAGAAATCTTGCTGGGATGTTGATTGGCATTATGTTGACTCAATAGCTCAGTTTGGGAACAATCAATTCTTGATAATACTGAGTTTTCCAACTCATGATCCAAATATGTCTCCATTTATTTGGGTATCATTAGTTTTTCTTATCAATGTTATAAGTTTGCAGTGTACAGGTCTTACACATCTTTTTGATCTATTTATCCCTAGTTACTTCATCATTTTTACTATTAGTATTTGTACTTTTTTCAGATTAGATGTTAGTATATACAAAAACAATGTGATATTCCTCTTGTGTTCTGCATTATTAAAAATCATTTATTAGTTCTAGTACTTTTTTTCCCGAAGCCAATTAATATTCTACACA